ATAAAAACGGTACATTACGATGCAATACAAAGAATTAACTTCAAGTCCTGGGAAGCAAATGCAAGTAATGGTCGTTCTCTTACAAGTGGAGATTGCGTGACGAACCCAAAAACTCCTGCGTAGGAAGCTAAAGGGGAGGGTGTAATGCTGAGGGCGGGAGATCACTGGCATTTAAGGCTAGCCATGCGAAACCTCAAAATAATGGTTGCCATCAAAATTAAATTCTCATAAAGAAGACTATGGAAAATGTAGGAAAACCTCTTCGTCGAATTTTCAAGTAGATCTTAGGAGTAACTGACCTTGTCAAGCGGAATTGTCTTCATGACTTTGTGCTTGTTGTCCAGCTTAATAATCGACGTCGTCGTTACCACCAGAATGCGGTCAGCCACCTTGCTCTTCATGTTAACCTGAACAGAAAATCCCAGGGTTAAACTTGATCAAACCAGCACTAGAGTTGACGACAGCTTCACCTTTCGTTTAGGACTGCCCATTATTTTCAATTTTCATTAAGTAAAAGCCGTTCTACAGGTGGCTCAAATTTGTTTTTCATTGCTTGGCCACTTAAAAAAAACCACTTAACCCACAATATTTGCACTGTGAAGTTGTTAGCTTCTTTGATCGGAAGAGTTTGGAATACCAACAAAAAGACAAAAGTTTTAGGCTGAAAAGTTCTCTATTGTATTACTGTACAAGAATGAAGAGTTCGTACGTTTACCTTCTTGGCGAATGAAGAGAACAGAACCTCCTCGCCTTTGGTTGAGAATTTGTTGACAACATTTCTGGTGAACAGTTCGGCTTGAGAGTTCTCCTCGGGCTGACAAGAAAAACGAGTAAACAAATATAAAAAAGCACGTGCGGAAATGACAAAAAAAAGTAGAAAAACGTGGAAAAACGTGCCTGCCGCTGTAACAGTCGAACACCTCAGTGAGGTAATGTTAATTTGTTACCTTAGCAAGGTAGTTTCCATGCCAGCGTGTCTTAAGTGCCCAGTTCTTTCGCTTTCCTCCCAGACAATCAAAAGCTGCAGATTTCAACATGACCTCGTCATGATCTTCATCTGGAATACGTTGCAACACTTTGTATCCCCACCACCTAGCAAAAGGACAGAGAAACAGTAAGGCCGTGACAAAAAACAACTCTTGTACTACAAAAGCACTGAGAACTTCTCTCGTTTCCTTGAGGAGCCCTTTATTTACTAATGATTTTGATTCGTACTAGCCTTTTCACGCGTTCACTTGTATCTCTCGCGTTTTTCGCGCGTCTTTTTGTCTCTCTCGCGGTTTTCGCGCGTCCATTTGTCTCCCTCGCGGGTTTTGACCATTCACTTGTCTCTCTCGCGGTTTCCGCGCGTTCATTTGTCTATCTCGCTGCTTTCGCGAGCTGATTTGAGCTCTCACGGTTTTTACGTGGCCACGTTTATGTCGTGGTTTCTGTGCGGTTATATCTCTCGAACAGCTTTTGCGCGGCCACTTGTCTCCCACGTAGTCAGTTTTTCACTCTCCGAGGTTTTCGCCTCTCACCTCGATGAGCTATGAGCGAGTGGGCAGACTTCTCGTAGCCGACTTCAATGCACGTTTTCACGCGGGAATCCAGAACGAGTATCATAAGTAGTAAAGATACAAGCTGGTGTGTGTTTGAGAAAGTAAAAAACATCTCTCTTTACTCCCATAAATTTTCCTCGAGATCCCTACATCAAAATATTTGGTCTTACCTTTCAAAGATCGACTTGGAGTAAGTTGAGAATTCTTGACATGACAGGGGAGGAGTGGGTGGGGTACTGGACTTGCCAAAGTCACTAAGATGTTTGCAGTTCCTGCAATAAGACAAAGAAAAAACTGACATGACTTTGTGATTAGTTTGCCTTTTTTGACGCATAGGAGAATCCTTGCTGATGTAATTGTGTACATTTTTCCTCATTGACATACGACTTTGTGCAGAGAAGGCATCACGCTAGACACGAATTGACTACAAACATTTAAAGAGCTTGTGAAACTTAGTAATTGATGAAATCTTTGGCTCTTTCGGTGAAATATTCGTGGGGGAAATTGGCTTTCAAAAACCGCAAAATTTGTCCATGGAAAAAGCGAGCGTGAAAAAAATCGTGTTTCAGAAACGGTGAGTAAAAAGAATTCTCACCTGTATGCGTCACAAAGTTGGGACACGAACTTTCTCCGCTGGTATCTCTTGAAATTGTCCATGATGAGGTAAATGGCGCGAAGTTTCCTCGTGCGCATTCTAGCAAGTCCGCCTCGCCAGTGCTGCATGAAGAAATTGTTCAAAACTCAATAAACAACATAGACTACGAACAGTCTTCCAGCGTAGTCCGTCGAGCGTGACCGTAATCGTATGGTAATAAACCGCGAGAAAAAAAGTGGCCGCGCGAAATCCTGGGGGCAGAATTTCGAGCGGAAATTTTTATCTCGCGGGTTTCTTTCGCATCACGCACGACAGACTAAGCGAAAGAGGGACTACTCGTGGTCTTTAAAAAATTACTAAATGATGGTGTGGAATTTTTGTTCTGCGGAGATACAAAATTCGCCGAACTCGTGCCACTGTCTATTGACGAGCGGTAATTGCGCCTTACCTTCTGAAGAAACAACACCAGAGTCGGCACAATCTCCGCTCGCAGTTTTTCCAACTCGAACACCGTCCTAGGAGTTCTGATAAACAGCTTGGTTCGGCCATATTTAACATCTGAAGTGTAGCCTGTTTCATTGATAATCACACCGACTCCGTCCTTGTCGATCCCCTTGTAGCTCGGCCATGTTTCCTGGACCAGCATTTTATACCTACAAAGGGAAGAGCAAAGGTCAAGTCTCCTCGAGCGAAAACTGCCGATGCCCTTAATTCTGGTCATGTGTCAAGAAAGACAACAGCGTGCACCATGCAATTGGTGCAAAATTCTGAGACCCATTACGGTCCCATTTGGATTCTAGGTTTCCATGTTTTGCATTTTCTTTGCATACAGCAAAGTTCCATATCTAACGAAAACATGAACTTTGAATTAAAGGGAACTGAACTGAACTTCACTGTTGTGTTTTGTTTTAAGGTGTTGTGTTGTGTCGTGTTTTAACTTGTTTTTCGTGTTGTGTCTTGTCTTGTCTTGTTGTGTTGTGTTGTGTTGTATTGTATTATGTTGTGTTATACTTTGTTGTGTTATACTTTGTTGTGTTTTGTTGTGTTGTGCTGTGATAGCAGTGTGTTGTGTTTTGTTTTGTTGCGTTGTGCTCTGTCTTGCTGTGTTTTGCTGTCTACGATGTTGTTTTCCAGTTTGCGATTAAAAACTGCAAACGTCTGGCTCACGTTTTCCAGTTTAGCTCAGATTCTTTCAGAAGTTTGCGTGCAAAAGTTATGTCAAAACATATCCGAATTTAACCATCTTTTCCTCACCTTTGAAGAAAACGTTTGTAGTGCATCCTGAAGGCAAATCCAGCTCGCCTAACGCGCAAATTTTCCATCAGCCCCAGATAGTCCACCTGTTAAATGCCGGAATATGTTTTCGTTAAAGAAGTTTTCACGAAAGCCTTCTGACTCAGGACTGTCATAAAGATTAGTAATGATACATTTTCGATAAAATCCGCCTCCTAATAAAAGACAAGTTCGCATGAGGACCATGAGGATTCATTTCACTTACCTGATGGCCGACTCGTTTCTCGTCAAAAAGAGAAGGCGACTTTACATCATTGGGTTTGATGCACCGCACATAAAAAGGTTTCTAAACAAGGCAAAAACCGGAAAATGATCAACACAGCCATCTTTTTACTCGTGGTTGCATAAAAAATAATAATGAAAAACAAAATTAAATACAGTGAAGTGGAGTTAAACTACCTTGGCGGCAAGCTTTTCCACAAGGGCAATCATTGAGGCTTTGAACAGAGCACCGGCTGTGGCGGGACGCTGAGTAACCTGGCAAGGGAATGACAGAGAAGATAGAGCGGTCAGTTCCACTGACTGAAGACTGTCGAAGTTCACTGTTCGTAATCTGCTTAAATCTTCCTCTACCTTCGCCATCCGTGTTCCTTTTTGACTTATTATAACTTCTCTCTAATTTTTCTTTTTGAGTGAACTACTATTTCGAGTTTCAATCTATTTGAAAGTAAATACTTAGCAGAATGTAAACCAGCGACTTATTATATGATCATAAAGTTCCTTTAATACCATAAAAGTGCTTTTAAAATGTCAACATTTGTGTGTGCTTAGCAAACTGAACAGAAGGTGCTGGTAGAATCACACTGTTGTACTAACATCCCTGAGTCTTGCCCATGAATCAGAACTTGGTCCATGTTTGTGGTAAAAGTAACTCTTCCTCTGAAAAGACGGTATTTTGACCCCTTAACAAAATCTCAAACCATTGTGAACCATTGTTAACTAACTAACACATTAGAGAGAGAGAAAAAAATTGGAACAACTCTCCAAAACTCCACTTAACACGGGATTTCGTAGAGATAGATCGCCATAGAGATAAAATAATTCCTTAAGACAACATCTAGTTGATTGAGTGATGCGCTCCTCCACCTCGCGCTCTCAGTTCGCCCTCAAGTCTTGTGTGTCGCAGACATTTTTTGCTTTCCGCGACCGGCTTTCCAAGCTCAACTCGTAGGGAAGTCTAGATAAACCGTCGGTGTGATCACAAAGACTTAAATAAATTTTGGCCATATTTCTTTTGAAGAAGAATCGAAAATTCTTTGAAAGTCGCTTGTTCACTTTACTGAATAAAAACAAGCGTACATTGACCACTTGTCACAGAACAAAGGACAAATTTAGCACTCGTGTATTAAAAGTAAATATAATTTAAGTGAAGAAACAGATTTTGTCCGGATGCAAGTCGAGAAGTTTGTTTTATATCTTTTGGAAATGTTCTGGGCATCTCAACATTGACTTTTCCATTGCATGGGCAATCAAAAACCAGACAATACACTGTATACGTTACAAGAAAATTAAAATACCTTTGTGATGTGTTCTTTTCCTTCTGGCCACATCTGCTTGAGAATCTTATGCGAGCTGAAGAGAGAGAAATAAAGGAAACTACCGGATCAGTTACCATAATTTAAAACCCAGGACTAGCTCATTTCTCTTCATAATATCGACCCATTGTCACGCAGGCTAATAAATTGAGAAATCATCTACAGGAGAACCACACCTGTTGTAAAGAAGTCGCTTGAAATCTTGATACAAATTATCTTTGTTTTTGTCAAGAAAATCAACAACTGAATATCTGCAAGTCAACAAAATAAGTGTTCAGTTTAATCGACCCTACAACAAATAAAATATCATTTCAAAATAACAAATTGAAACAATAACTAATTACTCACATCACATCTCCAGCATAATGCTTGACACAGAAATCACGATGAAATGCCATAGATTTGTCTGACGGATCAGTCTAGGAAAGAAAACGTGAACATAACAAGAAAATCAAGAGGTTTGTTAGCACAAACAGTTCAGATGACTAACAAGCCACCATGCATGGGCCAGCAACACTGACTGAAGAGGGTGAAAATGAGTTGACCATTACATGATACCACTGTTTCTTTTGGCAACTACAAAATCGTCTGATAAACAAGAAAGTAAAGACAACTAACAAAAGTATGCCCTGATATATAACACTACGGATGTGATTCTTTGGGAAAATCCAAGATTGGAAGGCATTTTGCGTTTCTTTACTGGAAAGATTAATCCAAGATCACTTGGATCATGGTGCATCAAACAAACCAAAGAATTCTTTCCCAGGGTAGATTTCTTGCTTCCTTTGAAGCACCATAAACTGAGTGATCTTGGATTAATCTGTGTCGAAACGAAACCTGAATCTCATTCTGTTTTTTGCATTTAAGAATCTAATCTTGAATTTTCCCACTGACACCAGAAAGTGACCATTTCCAACTGTCCCAGTCTAGCTGATCACTCCATTATAGTTATTCTCACCAGTCTGCTCCTGTAGTGGTTGTGTTTCTTCAACTTTTGGTCCATGGCCTGCAACAGCATCTGCAAAACAGCATCAACAAGAATTAATTTGGTAGGAGAATTCTGAGAAATGGTTGCAACACAAACAACGCTGTAGCAAGGCCAGGAGATGGACTTCATTTGAAATACTTAGAAAACTAAACACTAACGATGAGAAACAAGATACTTCAAACTCTTCCAAGGAATTTCCTATGATGAAAAACATTTTTGCGAGAAGATAACTTGCAGTCTGTGCATGTTTTAATTATTATTATTATCATTATTATCATTATTATCATTNTAATGCTGAGGGCGGGAGATCACTGGCATTTAAGGCTAGCCATGCGAAACCTCAAAATAATGGTTGCCATCAAAATTAAATTCTCATAAAGAAGACTATGGAAAATGTAGGAAAACCTCTTCGTCGAATTTTCAAGTAGATCTTAGGAGTAACTGACCTTGTCAAGCGGAATTGTCTTCATGACTTTGTGCTTGTTGTCCAGCTTAATAATCGACGTCGTCGTTACCACCAGAATGCGGTCAGCCACCTTGCTCTTCATGTTAACCTGAACAGAAAATCCCAGGGTTAAACTTGATCAAACCAGCACTAGAGTTGACGACAGCTTCACCTTTCGTTTAGGACTGCCCATTATTTTCAATTTTCATTAAGTAAAAGCCGTTCTACAGGTGGCTCAAATTTGTTTTTCATTGCTTGGCCACTTAAAAAAAACCACTTAACCCACAATATTTGCACTGTGAAGTTGTTAGCTTCTTTGATCGGAAGAGTTTGGAATACCAACAAAAAGACAAAAGTTTTAGGCTGAAAAGTTCTCTATTGTATTACTGTACAAGAATGAAGAGTTCGTACGTTTACCTTCTTGGCGAATGAAGAGAACAGAACCTCCTCGCCTTTGGTTGAGAATTTGTTGACAACATTTCTGGTGAACAGTTCGGCTTGAGAGTTCTCCTCGGGCTGACAAGAAAAACGAGTAAACAAATATAAAAAAGCACGTGCGGAAATGACAAAAAAAAGTAGAAAAACGTGGAAAAACGTGCCTGCCGCTGTAACAGTCGAACACCTCAGTGAGGTAATGTTAATTTGTTACCTTAGCAAGGTAGTTTCCATGCCAGCGTGTCTTAAGTGCCCAGTTCTTTCGCTTTCCTCCCAGACAATCAAAAGCTGCAGATTTCAACATGACCTCGTCATGATCTTCATCTGGAATACGTTGCAACACTTTGTATCCCCACCACCTAGCAAAAGGACAGAGAAACAGTAAGGCCGTGACAAAAAACAACTCTTGTACTACAAAAGCACTGAGAACTTCTCTCGTTTCCTTGAGGAGCCCTTTATTTACTAATGATTTTGATTCGTACTAGCCTTTTCACGCGTTCACTTGTATCTCTCGCGTTTTTCGCGCGTCTTTTTGTCTCTCTCGCGGTTTTCGCGCGTCCATTTGTCTCCCTCGCGGGTTTTGACCATTCACTTGTCTCTCTCGCGGTTTCCGCGCGTTCATTTGTCTATCTCGCTGCTTTCGCGAGCTGATTTGAGCTCTCACGGTTTTTACGTGGCCACGTTTATGTCGTGGTTTCTGTGCGGTTATATCTCTCGAACAGCTTTTGCGCGGCCACTTGTCTCCCACGTAGTCAGTTTTTCACTCTCCGAGGTTTTCGCCTCTCACCTCGATGAGCTATGAGCGAGTGGGCAGACTTCTCGTAGCCGACTTCAATGCACGTTTTCACGCGGGAATCCAGAACGAGTATCATAAGTAGTAAAGATACAAGCTGGTGTGTGTTTGAGAAAGTAAAAAACATCTCTCTTTACTCCCATAAATTTTCCTCGAGATCCCTACATCAAAATATTTGGTCTTACCTTTCAAAGATCGACTTGGAGTAAGTTGAGAATTCTTGACATGACAGGGGAGGAGTGGGTGGGGTACTGGACTTGCCAAAGTCACTAAGATGTTTGCAGTTCCTGCAATAAGACAAAGAAAAAACTGACATGACTTTGTGATTAGTTTGCCTTTTTTGACGCATAGGAGAATCCTTGCTGATGTAATTGTGTACATTTTTCCTCATTGACATACGACTTTGTGCAGAGAAGGCATCACGCTAGACACGAATTGACTACAAACATTTAAAGAGCTTGTGAAACTTAGTAATTGATGAAATCTTTGGCTCTTTCGGTGAAATATTCGTGGGGGAAATTGGCTTTCAAAAACCGCAAAATTTGTCCATGGAAAAAGCGAGCGTGAAAAAAATCGTGTTTCAGAAACGGTGAGTAAAAAGAATTCTCACCTGTATGCGTCACAAAGTTGGGACACGAACTTTCTCCGCTGGTATCTCTTGAAATTGTCCATGATGAGGTAAATGGCGCGAAGTTTCCTCGTGCGCATTCTAGCAAGTCCGCCTCGCCAGTGCTGCATGAAGAAATTGTTCAAAACTCAATAAACAACATAGACTACGAACAGTCTTCCAGCGTAGTCCGTCGAGCGTGACCGTAATCGTATGGTAATAAACCGCGAGAAAAAAAGTGGCCGCGCGAAATCCTGGGGGCAGAATTTCGAGCGGAAATTTTTATCTCGCGGGTTTCTTTCGCATCACGCACGACAGACTAAGCGAAAGAGGGACTACTCGTGGTCTTTAAAAAATTACTAAATGATGGTGTGGAATTTTTGTTCTGCGGAGATACAAAATTCGCCGAACTCGTGCCACTGTCTATTGACGAGCGGTAATTGCGCCTTACCTTCTGAAGAAACAACACCAGAGTCGGCACAATCTCCGCTCGCAGTTTTTCCAACTCGAACACCGTCCTAGGAGTTCTGATAAACAGCTTGGTTCGGCCATATTTAACATCTGAAGTGTAGCCTGTTTCATTGATAATCACACCGACTCCGTCCTTGTCGATCCCCTTGTAGCTCGGCCATGTTTCCTGGACCAGCATTTTATACCTACAAAGGGAAGAGCAAAGGTCAAGTCTCCTCGAGCGAAAACTGCCGATGCCCTTAATTCTGGTCATGTGTCAAGAAAGACAACAGCGTGCACCATGCAATTGGTGCAAAATTCTGAGACCCATTACGGTCCCATTTGGATTCTAGGTTTCCATGTTTTGCATTTTCTTTGCATACAGCAAAGTTCCATATCTAACGAAAACATGAACTTTGAATTAAAGGGAACTGAACTGAACTTCACTGTTGTGTTTTGTTTTAAGGTGTTGTGTTGTGTCGTGTTTTAACTTGTTTTTCGTGTTGTGTCTTGTCTTGTCTTGTTGTGTTGTGTTGTGTTGTATTGTATTATGTTGTGTTATACTTTGTTGTGTTATACTTTGTTGTGTTTTGTTGTGTTGTGCTGTGATAGCAGTGTGTTGTGTTTTGTTTTGTTGCGTTGTGCTCTGTCTTGCTGTGTTTTGCTGTCTACGATGTTGTTTTCCAGTTTGCGATTAAAAACTGCAAACGTCTGGCTCACGTTTTCCAGTTTAGCTCAGATTCTTTCAGAAGTTTGCGTGCAAAAGTTATGTCAAAACATATCCGAATTTAACCATCTTTTCCTCACCTTTGAAGAAAACGTTTGTAGTGCATCCTGAAGGCAAATCCAGCTCGCCTAACGCGCAAATTTTCCATCAGCCCCAGATAGTCCACCTGTTAAATGCCGGAATATGTTTTCGTTAAAGAAGTTTTCACGAAAGCCTTCTGACTCAGGACTGTCATAAAGATTAGTAATGATACATTTTCGATAAAATCCGCCTCCTAATAAAAGACAAGTTCGCATGAGGACCATGAGGATTCATTTCACTTACCTGATGGCCGACTCGTTTCTCGTCAAAAAGAGAAGGCGACTTTACATCATTGGGTTTGATGCACCGCACATAAAAAGGTTTCTAAACAAGGCAAAAACCGGAAAATGATCAACACAGCCATCTTTTTACTCGTGGTTGCATAAAAAATAATAATGAAAAACAAAATTAAATACAGTGAAGTGGAGTTAAACTACCTTGGCGGCAAGCTTTTCCACAAGGGCAATCATTGAGGCTTTGAACAGAGCACCGGCTGTGGCGGGACGCTGAGTAACCTGGCAAGGGAATGACAGAGAAGATAGAGCGGTCAGTTCCACTGACTGAAGACTGTCGAAGTTCACTGTTCGTAATCTGCTTAAATCTTCCTCTACCTTCGCCATCCGTGTTCCTTTTTGACTTATTATAACTTCTCTCTAATTTTTCTTTTTGAGTGAACTACTATTTCGAGTTTCAATCTATTTGAAAGTAAATACTTAGCAGAATGTAAACCAGCGACTTATTATATGATCATAAAGTTCCTTTAATACCATAAAAGTGCTTTTAAAATGTCAACATTTGTGTGTGCTTAGCAAACTGAACAGAAGGTGCTGGTAGAATCACACTGTTGTACTAACATCCCTGAGTCTTGCCCATGAATCAGAACTTGGTCCATGTTTGTGGTAAAAGTAACTCTTCCTCTGAAAAGACGGTATTTTGACCCCTTAACAAAATCTCAAACCATTGTGAACCATTGTTAACTAACTAACACATTAGAGAGAGAGAAAAAAATTGGAACAACTCTCCAAAACTCCACTTAACACGGGATTTCGTAGAGATAGATCGCCATAGAGATAAAATAATTCCTTAAGACAACATCTAGTTGATTGAGTGATGCGCTCCTCCACCTCGCGCTCTCAGTTCGCCCTCAAGTCTTGTGTGTCGCAGACATTTTTTGCTTTCCGCGACCGGCTTTCCAAGCTCAACTCGTAGGGAAGTCTAGATAAACCGTCGGTGTGATCACAAAGACTTAAATAAATTTTGGCCATATTTCTTTTGAAGAAGAATCGAAAATTCTTTGAAAGTCGCTTGTTCACTTTACTGAATAAAAACAAGCGTACATTGACCACTTGTCACAGAACAAAGGACAAATTTAGCACTCGTGTATTAAAAGTAAATATAATTTAAGTGAAGAAACAGATTTTGTCCGGATGCAAGTCGAGAAGTTTGTTTTATATCTTTTGGAAATGTTCTGGGCATCTCAACATTGACTTTTCCATTGCATGGGCAATCAAAAACCAGACAATACACTGTATACGTTACAAGAAAATTAAAATACCTTTGTGATGTGTTCTTTTCCTTCTGGCCACATCTGCTTGAGAATCTTATGCGAGCTGAAGAGAGAGAAATAAAGGAAACTACCGGATCAGTTACCATAATTTAAAACCCAGGACTAGCTCATTTCTCTTCATAATATCGACCCATTGTCACGCAGGCTAATAAATTGAGAAATCATCTACAGGAGAACCACACCTGTTGTAAAGAAGTCGCTTGAAATCTTGATACAAATTATCTTTGTTTTTGTCAAGAAAATCAACAACTGAATATCTGCAAGTCAACAAAATAAGTGTTCAGTTTAATCGACCCTACAACAAATAAAATATCATTTCAAAATAACAAATTGAAACAATAACTAATTACTCACATCACATCTCCAGCATAATGCTTGACACAGAAATCACGATGAAATGCCATAGATTTGTCTGACGGATCAGTCTAGGAAAGAAAACGTGAACATAACAAGAAAATCAAGAGGTTTGTTAGCACAAACAGTTCAGATGACTAACAAGCCACCATGCATGGGCCAGCAACACTGACTGAAGAGGGTGAAAATGAGTTGACCATTACATGATACCACTGTTTCTTTTGGCAACTACAAAATCGTCTGATAAACAAGAAAGTAAAGACAACTAACAAAAGTATGCCCTGATATATAACACTACGGATGTGATTCTTTGGGAAAATCCAAGATTGGAAGGCATTTTGCGTTTCTTTACTGGAAAGATTAATCCAAGATCACTTGGATCATGGTGCATCAAACAAACCAAAGAATTCTTTCCCAGGGTAGATTTCTTGCTTCCTTTGAAGCACCATAAACTGAGTGATCTTGGATTAATCTGTGTCGAAACGAAACCTGAATCTCATTCTGTTTTTTGCATTTAAGAATCTAATCTTGAATTTTCCCACTGACACCAGAAAGTGACCATTTCCAACTGTCCCAGTCTAGCTGATCACTCCATTATAGTTATTCTCACCAGTCTGCTCCTGTAGTGGTTGTGTTTCTTCAACTTTTGGTCCATGGCCTGCAACAGCATCTGCAAAACAGCATCAACAAGAATTAATTTGGTAGGAGAATTCTGAGAAATGGTTGCAACACAAACAACGCTGTAGCAAGGCCAGGAGATGGACTTCATTTGAAATACTTAGAAAACTAAACACTAACGATGAGAAACAAGATACTTCAAACTCTTCCAAGGAATTTCCTATGATGAAAAACATTTTTGCGAGAAGATAACTTGCAGTCTGTGCATGTTTTAATTATTATTATTATCATTATTATCATTATTATCATTATTATCAATATTATCAATATTATCATTATCATTGTCATTATCATTATCATTATCATTATCATTATTATTATTATTATTATTATTATTACTATTTAAACTCTCTTGGCTGCTCAGGGCCAGACATAATGAAAGCGTTTATAGAAGCATGCTGCGAATGGAAGTAGCAAGAGTTCTACAATTTCAAGATGGCTTCCCCTTCAAAGTCTCCAATGGTAGTCATCTTCACAGCAGTTGCTGGTCATAAATATATCATTTGGCTTGTTGCTGCTGCGTGAGGGTTTTTCAGTACTTCCTTGCCCAAAATATGAATACATTGCAAGTTTAGCGGAATAACTGCATCCCACGTGCTTTGAGAACAACCATACCCAACAGAGAATTAATCCAGAATATTCCATGTAATTTGGTATGTTGCATCCTGGACTATTACAGATCAATTTAAAACCATTGATTACAAAAAGAAGTGAAAGTAAACTACAACTTTTTGAAGTTATCTTGGCTCCACAATGACAGCCGAGATGATAACTAAATTTCATTGAGTGAAAGGTGTAAGTATACATAACACAGTCTAATAAAATTATCTCATTTATCTCAAAAAAAAAAAAAAAAAAAAAAGCGTGCAGTGAACATACCTCATCAGACACTTTACCAATATTTCTACATCCCTCATCCAGTATTGACAAGATTCCTTTGTGGTTCTGCTCAATCAGCTCACAAATGATCGCATTGTTGAAGTAATCAATCTTGAATAATACAAAAAAATCCACATTATAAGGTTGGAACACTGGCTAGGGAGAATCAGTATCCTGGTTTTATTGATGTTTGAACTCATCAGTGACAACAGCTGGCCCTGTGGTGATTCTTCAGCAACCTTGTTAACATCCTTAAAAGGATGATGATGCTGAGAAAATTGTGCCACCAAATAGAGGTATCCATGGCACTCCTGCTAGTGGTAAACCACCTACAGCATCTATGCCAACCCTCCTGGATTACCTGGGAGTCTCCCAGATACAGATCAAATCTCTGTGTCTCCTGTATGGGTCCCCATATCTCCCAGACAATATGAATGTAAGTGCATAAAATATGTTTTTCAGACATATCTTGGCCTATTTTTTGCATTTACTGGAGAAAATTTTGGATACTTCACGCATTTTTGCCATTCAATTGTCAGAGTTCTACTTTGAAGAACTTTTTTTCAGGTCCAAAAAGGTAAACTTGGCAATCTCCCAGATTTTGATTTTTTAGGTGGGCATGTCTGTCTGCAGAGTGTGATTGAGAGCTAAATAACTGCATATTATTTTAAGGACTAGGTTTGTATGAATCTAGCAACATAGGCCAGTGGAAGGCACGGTGGTCTCATGGTTAGTGCGCTCATCTCCGGATCAAGCAGTCTGGGTTTCAAGCCCTGGCCGGGGACATTGTGTTGTGTTCTTGGGCAAGAACAGTGCCTCTCTCCAACCAGGTGTATAAATGGGTACCTGCGAACTTAATTCTGGGGTAACCCTGCTATGGACTAGCATCCCATCCAGGAGGGAGTAGAAATACTCCTAGTAGCTTCATGCTACAGAAATCGGGATAAGCTCCAGCCTGGTGGGCCACTTGGCTTGTACGCGTACTTCACTTTACCATAGGCCAGCAAAGCATGCTTAGAAATCTGTAATATATAATTACCTCCTCCCACTGGATTCCTTCACGTTGATATTCCTCTTGTTCTTGTTTTAGCACCAACTCAATGAAGAGTTGCTGAAGTTTTTCGTTACAGTAATTAATACACAGCTGTTCAAAGCTGTTGGTGTCAAAAATCTCAAAACCATAGATGTCAAGCACTCCAATCACTGTACACTTTCCATGAGCCACTTGATCACGCAGCTCAATTGTTTCATTGATCCTTCCTACAATCCAGGTAAATAGGCGATCATACATGGCCTGAAATAATTAAAACAACCCTTGAATTACTTATGTTTGCTGCCAAAAGGCAGCATTTATTTACTTACAAATAATTACTAGTGGATCATTTTTGTACATCAATACTGTACTACCATAAACGTTATTGAAGCATTCTGGTGACTCTGCAGTTATTATACCCCAGTTAAGACTCAAAGAAATGAGAGTCTGAGTCTCAAGTCACAATTCTTCAGGTTTCACTCTTGGGTAATTACATACTTTACTCAAATGGTCTCCCGGGGTTTTCATTAACATTTTCAGCTTGAGCACAACTGAGTTTCACAACCGAGCAAAAAGTTTAGAACTGAACTTTTTTATAGGAGACCTAAACGTTTCCACTAAATGGTCAAACAAAGCAGGCAAAATGATCCTTACAGCCAGTCATTTTGCCCAGTGCCCCAAGCCCTGAATGAAACACCTGCTCTCATCATGCAAGCATCAGCAACCATGATGGCCCAGTTTTAGACCCATGATAGACTAACATCTAACCCAGGGGATACAGTACAGTGTTATTTTAGAACCACTTGGCCAGTCAGAATTAAACATAAGAATTGCCCCTGTTCTCTAGTCCAGAACCAAAAGAATTGGATGATCATAAATGCTCATCATAGCCAGTGAGACAATCACCTTAGCCAAGGCATCTCGGCCATGAGCTGCATCTATAGCATGATGTCCCTTGTCCACAACTTCAGACTGTCCAGCAGCCACGACACGGTAACACAGCGCCTTCTCCACATGTCTGGGCTCACTTCCCAGGAGATATGCAATGACGTTGAGATTTTCATCACTGTTTACAACTGACGCCTGCTCCTGATCATCATCAACAAACTCTAAGTTTCCCTGTAGGGAAAAGAGCACAGTACTTAACTCACCTTTATGTCTCATTGTAAACCATCTTATGTTAAGTTGTTTTCTGTAAATAGTGTGCAATAATAAACTTGAACTTGAACTTGAACTTGAACCTGGGTCATTTTCAGCCAAAAAATTATTCATAGAAGCAAGAAAAGGTTGATATATGCCAGAAGTGGATAAAATCTGAAATTATGTACCAATGCATCAGCAATATTGTTGCCAGTAATAGTCAGAGTTTGCAGGAGGAGTGCAGGATTGTTCCCGAACAGTGGCTGGATGTTGAACTATGCTTAAAGCAGCTTGGATGATAGTCAAACTTGATTCAGTCAGTTGCAAGATATTTAAAGATTCCTAAAATTAATATCATTTATCTATACGGAAAAAGAACAGTGTCCCAAACAAATTCTAATAAAATAAGTACCTACCAAATGCAGAATGGCTGAAACAATTTTCCATATTGCACTCCGCTCATCCTCAGTGAAGCCCACAGATTTCATTGATTCACAGTTTAGTTTGTAATCCATTTTGTCATTGATTGCTTTCAGCTGTCAAGGTATAATTCTATATATGAGTTACTCTAACTGGCTCTTAATTTTGAATCATGTAATTTACTGGAATAGCTCAATTACAATTCACAGACTGAAATGAATTAACCTGCATGCATCCTCCCTGATTTGCGTAGTGATAATCTCCAGCTTTTCTATCAAGATACAATTCCTTGAGAGTCTCAGGAGGTGCTCCATTGAGTAACTAGAACAAAAAATTAAACATCATTAACAAACAACTTCAATGAGCATATTTTCCTAGCTACAGTTCTACTGGAGCTGAGCTGACTGAAGTGTTAACTTAACCCTTCGACCCCTAAGGTGAACGGCAGTTTTTCCCAAATAGGCAAATAAAGACACTCTGCCTGTGTACAATATGCCATTTGAAAGCCACCAATCAGCTTATTTAAGAATTGACATCAGCAGCTATGAAGGAGGTAGACATTTTGAGAGAAATTACTTTAAAATGGAAAAATGAACAACTTCAAAAATGTATCAATCTTCTACTAACATTAGGTATACCCCTAAACTATAGCTTATTTAGCAGCTCTTAGTGCATAGCTTGATATGAAACAAGTCTTGCATTCCATTTGCATCCCGAAAAAGGAACTAAAAATTTCTGGGGGTGGTCAACCATGTCTTGGATGGGAGGGGGTCAAAATTTTATGACTTCAATGAGCAGATCTTCACAAGACAATTTTCATGGCAAAAATTCATAGAAATCTATCAAATATTCACAATGTTATGACCTTGTGTGCCAATTTGCACTCTTAGGGGGTACAAAGCTCCAACAGGCCCCCATTTGGAATCTCCATTTGGCATTTACATTACTGATTGAATTAATTTAAATTTAAATATAAATTATTGTTAGGAGTTAAAGCTACAACTATAAATTTTACAAGACAAATTTAATAATCCACTGAATTTCTGTCACAAACCTGGTAAAAGGAATGGAAATTCCTTTCTCCTTCTTGTTGTTTAACAACTCTTGACTGGAAAAAAGGAGAAATATTAATAACAGAACAAATTACTGACAAAATCTTTCCTACTAAAATTATGGAAAAAAAGAGCAAAGTTCACCATTTACATGTAACACCATTAACACAAAAGAAGATTCATTGTGTTGCTAAAGATTATCTGTAACCTAAGAAATTTTCAATCAGAAACTTGTACGACCAAACCTTTTCCAAAAGGTAGTTGAATATATGTCCACCAACAGGATCTCCTTTGAAATCAAAGTCAATATCCATGTACTTTCCAAATCTACTGGAGTTGTCGTTTCTGTTTGTTCGCGCATTGCCAAAACTCTCCAAAATTGCATTGGACTTCAGAAGAATATCTTTGGTCCTGTTGGAACAGAATGTGTTGTTTCAGAAAATATTCATAATTCCCCCTCCTTATGGAAAGTTTTTTGGTTTAAACTCCCCCTCCCCCTCCTCCTTCCCCCCCCCCTCCCACTGTAAATTCCATTTTAGCCTCATATTTTCCGCTAGAAATGATGGGGATTGCGGCTATCCTTACTTGTACACAGACCCTCTATTTTGTACTCAGCTCATTGAGAGAGACCACAAACAAAAGTATCAACCACCGGGGATTTGAAAAAACCCTTGGAAACACATGGGGGTGTTCCCGAGGAAAAACAAAAATAGAGACTAGTCCCTCCCCCTTAAAATTTCCAATGACTTTCAGCAAGGTCGGTATGGATGTTTTCTGGAACTGCACAACATATAGCAAGGATAATATCACAATAACATTCAATTATTACAGCTTATATTAACTAAAACTCGTTTCTGTTAAAGTAATATTTAATGTTTGACCTCATCTTTAGTAACAACCTGTCTTACAACTGACACAAGATTATAAATGGGTTATATACAATCGATCAATCAAACAAGCAAGCAAGCAAGTAAGCAATCAATCAGTCAATCAATCAATCAACTTTATTTAGAGACGGTGACATATGACAGAATAAACTGATAAACTAGTACATGTATGAGAATTGCCAGCTGAGATAACTTGACAAACAGTGGGTTAGGTCACCGAGGTAATTTGCAATTGACTGGCATTCCATCCAGAGCAACATTGTGATACCCCTTGTCATTTTACATGATAGGCCTACCTTAAATTCCAATAAGTAATTTATATTTAGCCTGTGTGGCAGGTGTCTGAAGAGGAGCGAAAGGGGAAAAAATGAGTGCACAAAGGGTGTGAGGGTAGGCTCCCTCCTCGAAGCATGCTCTATCCCTCCACACTCATTTTGGCCCTGGCCCTCCCCTTCTACGGCCTGCCACGCAGGCTAGTTTATATTGGACCAACACCCTGCAAGCAGCTAGTCCGTTTGATTGTAGTCTGCACACCTTTTCTTTACAATGAATGACAGATCTAAAGATCTCACTAAGTGATTAATCATTAGCTCACAATGACGACTGCCATGTGTCATTATAATTAGCTCACGATGATGAGAGAATGAGGCAAGAAAATGGTTCATAAAATTTGTTTAACTAACCTTTCAACTTCAGACTGTTTTGACAAATTGGTGACAGCAGCAATATATTTCATAATAATCTTTGATGCCTCAGTTTTCCCTGCACCACTTTCACCTAAATAAGAAGAATATACAAAGGTAATCGGAATGAGTTGAAAGTCCAACTGTCTGTAATCATGCAAGCAAGTAACAAAATCAGATGACCAGACTGCACCAAGAGTTTGATTTGTATTCTCAAGAATGGGTTGAGACAGAATTGAAGGACATGAAGTTCTATAGCCAATAAAATGATAACAAAATTTGATAACCATGAACATAGGCTCAAGTCCTGATTTGGGAATAAAAATTATAAAACTTTCAAATGAGTGATTGATGTAGAAGTTGAAAACCTACATTTAGATTTCCAAATGATAGTTAATTTTTTTTTTGTGGTTGAACAAAGAAACCTTTCACCAATAGTGGAAAATCAAATTATACCCCTCACTCTCAGTTTCTATTATTTTTTCAAAGATACCTTAAACTCAGTTTACTAATTTTTAACTGCACCATAGTCAGAATATTTCTTCATCTAAATATGAAATGAAAAATGAAATTCAGCAGAGCAGATGTCTTTTGTTTTCTAAAAAATATGCAAATGTTGCATTTTATACATTTTCCAATAACAATAAATTTTTAATTTCACAAAACAGGAATGTAAAAGGCCTTTACAGTAGCAAGGAAACTATTGACAGAAGTTCTTCGCATGGGTCTCTTTGTGCACCACCCAAACTCCAATCTGTATTTTGTGTGTGTGCCCAAAATTCAGCCTATACAAAACATTCTTCCACTACTGGCATTTTTTAAATCTAATGTTAAAACAAAGTATCACTTTTAAACGGTGTTTTATATTTCAATTTGCTTTATTGTGGCTCCTGGCTTTTATTTTGTGACTCTTGTTTAGTTTTTTTAAAAAATTGTTGGTTGTTGTAGAACTTTTGCATGGGTTTCATAAATGTGATGTTATTATAACCATTGTCTCACAGTAACTAAATCATCTTTTGACAGGAAGTCAAAAGAATGATAATTGCAAAATATGCATACTATGTAACTGATCTTGCAAGTGAAGACCAATAAACTAAAGAAATTTTACAGTTCTATACTTCTTGTTATGTCAAGCTCAACAAATCTGCATGTTTGTCAATAATTTTGTTCTTAAAAAAACCCGACCCATTATTTGCAGAAGTTAAAGTCTGAACTTTAACAACCAATTAAACTTCCGACCACAGCTCTTTAGATATATACCCAAGAAAAACTGAAAATCCACCACAAGTTTAAAGTTAACTTATTAAGCTTGGTTGTAATTTATGTCAAAGGAATTTGGACGTCACAAAAGATTAAAGAAATTATACATTCTGGCGAAATATTTGAACTGATTATTTCAAGCCATGTACAACACAAATAACACACCAAAGAACGCTTAAATTTCATTGACAGTTATTTTAACTGCTAGTGAAAACTGCTAAAACCTTCGTGTCACAAAACGATTCATAGAAAATAAGTAAAATAGAGACTTCTATGCATGTAGTCATTAAAGTATGCAGATTATATTAAAGCTATTCCGTCATTCTGAACCAAAAATTAATGAAAACAAGCTTACCAGAAATTACTATACAGGTGTCCTCTGAGCGCCGTTTCATCGTCCTGTAGGCTGCATCCGATAAAGCAAAAAGATGGGGAGGTCTTTCATACATTTCTCGCATTTTGTATTCTTGAATTTTGTCGTTTCCAAAAATGCTCAAAGTCTTGTACGGATTCACCGATACGAGCACTTCGCCAATGTAAGTGTAAATTCGCTCTTTTTGAAAACGGAGTTTCAGGTTTTTCATGAAGGCATCTTTGGTGATTTCGTCCATAAGGACAAAATCACCTTTGCCGTATTCTAAACTTTCTTGTTCAGCCATTCTTAGTGCTCTAATCAAACAGACCTCGCGTTCAACGCGATGAAGTTTGAAAAATATTATGTTTTCTTCGTTTCTATCGAGTACTGTGATTGGTCAAACTAATCATCGCGCCAATCACAGACGCTGGTATATCATTCCTAGTGACCCGGCAAAAGTGGGCGGGAGAAATTCAAAACAAGATCAAATTGAAATCTAATCTACATATATATATCAAGACCCAACCTTTCCGCTTCAGGCGGCAAGAGAATACCAAAGTGTAATGCGTCATCGGCTGGTAATTTTGGACTGTAAATCTTTATCCTTTATTTTCGTCTGAAAGCGAATACACGTACCGAACAGTTTGATTGAAATTATTGTATATGTCATCAACTAACTTGACGTTATGTCACTCGTAATAAAGCCTAGTTCAATATTGGTTCTGATATTAAACAGATATTTGAAAACTTTCAAGTTTTGAGCGGTTAAGCCTTTAAATGGTCAGTATTGAACGCAGATTAAATGGAATATCAGCCAATAAATTAAAGGAAAAATCAAAATTAAAGATGCATTTTTGGGATGTATGGCCTTTTGACCGAGGGAGTGTCATTCTTAGAATAACATACTGTTAAATTCAGACTAAATGAAATAATGAAGAAAAAAAATATTTTGATAATAATGATCAAATATTCAAAAGACCTCAGTTGAATTCTCTTACTCAAAGGACTCAAAGGCAAGACAAAGCCTCACAATACATGTGATGTGCATGTACTACATTGAATAGAAATAAGTCGGCGAAATGATTCAGACAAACCAATACGCGACTGGACGCTTTTTTCGAGGCCCTTCTAGCACTCTAGCTCTAGATCCCTTAAATGTAATCAGTCGAAGCGGGAGTCCGATTTGTTAATCGCGAGTATGATTACAGACTGAAATGGACGACGCGAAGCCCTGTTACCAATTAATTAAAACTATGACAAAATTCGAGAAACAAACAAACCATCGATTGAGCNTCAAATCGGGCTGCTGATAGCCAATCACGTTCGAGAATTTTGTTATAGTTTTGATTAATTAAGAAATACAAGGGCCGAAAAAGGAAGGGTCCTATCTTCGGAAGATCTAGACTGATCTTCGGAACTCTTCGGTTTTGTTAAAGGTACTCTTAGCCAATCACAATGCAGGACTGGAATTCGTCTGTAGCACTCCGGAAATCCCCTGAACTCGTCCACTAGCAAAACTGGCTGGTGAAAAAAAAAATTCAGATAGTTTCTCCACGATGGAATGGCACAGAATTGTGGCCATTTTCCGTTCATTTGTTGTAGAGTCGGTGTGCTCGATGCTCTTTGTTTTAATTGGGTGTGGTTCAACAATCACCTGGCCTCAAAAAGAAACAAGTCCAAGCATCCTGAGTGTGTCTTTGTGTTTTGGATTTTCATGCACATTTTTGCTGAACATCTCGACCTGTTTAAGTGGCGGGTTCTTCAACCCAGCGCTAACTGCTGCTTTAGCTGCCAACAAAACTCTATCAGCGAAGAAAGCCTTGTGCTACATAGCAGCGCATCTAATCGGAGGTAAGCGCCGAGAAGTTTTACTGTCAAAGAAATAAAGATTAGACTGAGAAGTGTCGGCGAAAATCGCTTCTTCCCCTTGCATCGTACTGCTAAGCCGAACTTCCTTTCTTAGGGCGGGCTCGAGGTAGCGACGAGTTTCATTTCTCGATGGCTGGGTTTAACGATTAAAATCATTCATTAGGTTACATAAGTGGAAGAGCGGGAAATTCATATATTTTTTTCGTCTTTTTGCAAAACATATGGTTTGTGAGTTGTGTGCGCTAGTTGCTGCTAAAACCTCTCTAGCACCACTGTCAGTAAATTTGAGCTTTGGAATAATACAGGATAGCACTGAAACTAGAGATCACAAGCTCTGGAGCTAGAGTTAGTTATAAATTTAGAAATCTGGGAATGCCCTCAGGTAGCAAAGGCTAATCTAGACAGCTTGTGCCATAACAACTAATAATGACATAAACATGATTCACAAAGCCGCCTTTTTTTGGAGCAGCTCAAACAATCAGCTTTTCCAAATTCACTAGGGCAATTAAGCTTGAATTACCTTTATCGGTTTCAAGTTCGTATTCAACTATGTATGCACTGCGGCAGTCTAACTGTCCATTAAATAAGAAGTCTGTCCAACATTCAGTGGTTTTATTACAAAAATAATATCAATAAACATGTACTTGAAATTTTTTGTGATCCGGAATACTGTATTTTTTTGTGCGCAGCCATTATTGGAGCAGGCCTTCTTTATGTCATTGTTCCTTATGAGAACCATGGTCTGTTAGGAGTGGTGCAGGTTACACCAGTGTCTCCTTTAGTTGGGTTCGGAGTGGAGTTGCTGATGACATTGGCTCTGACATTAACTGCATTGTCATGTACAGAGGGAGGACAAACAACAGTTGATCATCCAGCTTCCATTGTGATAGGACTGGTTGTTACTGCATGTCATTTGTTTGAGGTAATAAAAACATGACTTAGCAATATACATGCAGTATGATAAATCAGTTAGGAAAAACATAATCTTACTGTACATAATATAAATTTGGTAAAGTAAGGATTAATACATGGTTTCAAATAAAATTTGACTGTTTTACCAATTTATGTTAAGTTAACTTGTCAAAACAGAACTGTAGTAATAATGGTAAGCTTGCTGGGGTTATCAAACTTGTAGAAGTCTGGTGGAATCTGAATCAATGGCCTGCATGGTGAATTAATATGAAAAAATTTAGTAGAAATTAGGATGTCCCAACTGCATCATAAATATTATAATTATGGCTTGCCTGAAATGAGATAATCGTTATTCTACCCTTTGAGACAGAGATGATGCCATCGTAGGAATACCCTCAAGTATGTCCGCCAAAACAGCTGGAATTCATACTCAAGATATTAATAATTAGACAGTGTCTCTAAGAAGTTATCTCTTGTCATTCTATGTTACCCCATGTCAACATTAGTACCCAGTGACTGGATGTGGAATTAACCCAGCTCGTGCCTTTGGCCCTGCTGTTGTGGCAAACAGGTGGACCAACCACTGGGTGAGTACCTAGCTACTTCCATACAAAAACTGATAATATACATAATTACATAATAACAGTACAATGTGCATGCATATTGGTGTCAGTGCTGCATGCTGGAAAAGGTTGGGTATAGTGAAAGAAAAACTGTCATATTTTGTAGATTCTTTGTCAACAAATTTTCAGGAGAAGGCATTTATTAACACATTTCAACATTGTATTGTATACTGGTAGGCTTTTTAGTCAACTTAAACCTCACAGTGAGAAACAAAAAATAGCAATCACCCTAGACTTTCTCGAAGTCTTTTCCAGTATATTTTATTGTCGCCATGTAAACTCTCTCTAATGACCCTTGCTCAAGGGTGATGTATGGTCATAACTCAATTAAGCACCAAAGGTAGACTTGTGGTGAGACCTTAGCAACCCTTGTCAAAAGACACGAGGCTTGCTTTATCATAATACAATATTAACTGGTATAATATAATACGTTGTGTCATCTAGGATCTCTAGTGTTTAAATCAGAACCTGAGACAGTAATCAAGTTTCTTTTTCTCATCCTCCAGGTTTACTGGTTTGGCCCAATCATTGGTGCGCTTCTAGCAACAGGAATTCACCATTTGGCAAACAACTTTCCTGTCACTACTGCAGATGAGCTTGTCATCACAGAGCAAGAACTTAACGACAGAGCAGAACCAGACAAGAAAGAAGACACTGGACAAACACCAAGAAAATACAACATACAAACACAGACTCCTTATGAATTGAAGACAACTGTGTAATATATTTAAGAAGAGTGATATCACAGACATTGACCTGAGTTTTCATGATTGTTGTGTGCTATTTGTATTTTTAATATATTTGGATTTGCAACAAGTACAAAATATATTTTAGCTGGAATCTCTTCACTGAGACCTGACAACCAGAATTACAGTTTTTGTCATAAGTTGCTTAACCACAGACTCCTTCTACTTTTGATGTTTCCTCACTTTTGTTAGTAAGTTTGAAATAAGCAAATAAAAATGTTGCTATTGCTAACCTTCAAAAAAGTCAACACCGATAGCAGAATAATAATAATTATTATTGTACTTTGTTTTAAGTATTTGAATGTTTATTCACTTTGAAATAAAAAATGTTGCTATTTTAAGAAAATAATCATATTTATTGGTCTTGATGTTCCGACCTTTCCACTGCTAAAGTTTACACAAACTGCAGAAAACATTTATCTTACATGTAATATTATTTAGCTGCAGACCATAATACATATTATACAGTTTGAGAAGTTGTATTTATATATTGAAAAAACACTATCTATTGTAAAAACATAAGTATTTTTGTTTCTTTACACCAATAATTTGCTACATTAAATTGTAAGACTTTACATAGTGTCCTCATTTGGAAATTAAATCTGTGGAGGGAAAGGATGGGGTTGATTGCTGCATTCAGATACCAGCTTCACCAACATCAACAGCTGTTTCGCAAAATGTCAAGCACCTTGAAGTTCAAACTCCTTGGTTTGTAAAAATTATATTAGAATCCATAAGGTCGAAAAACACCATAACAGGCACGACCAGAATTTACTAAGGTATGCTAGAGACATCACTTTCTTCTGCTTCTCTTCATTGTCTTCTCTTTTTCTTTCTTTGGTGGAGGAGCTGCACCTGATGTAATGTGACGCTCATACAAACTAAGAACAGACAACAAGATTAAGAGTTAGGGGAAAAGGGAACCTGATAACAAAAGGGGTGGAGAATGGTCCATCAAAAACCATGTGTCTTGCAAAACTTTCATTGAATTTCATGGGTCTCGCAGTCTCATTTCTTTAGCGCTTATGTGCGACTCACAGTCTCGACGCTTGTCTGACTTTCTCGCAAAGTCTTGTATTTACCATTCACTACCCCTAACAAACAGAACGACAGTCTAATACTGTTAATTTGTCAAAGGGGGTAATTCCTGGCTTCGGAAGAAGGTCTTAAACAGATACATACTATATGTTATTAACCTTTTGTATCCATCAGTTTTGATGTACTCAAACACATGTGAAGGACCCAGAACAATTTGATCTTCAAGCTGCTGTATCCATGCATTGCCTTCTGCTTTGAACAAATGCCGAGGGTTGGCCATGTCAAGCTCACCTTCAACAGAGAATATTTCAGAGTGAGCAGTTTACTGGCAAATTACAGTTACTGTATCAAACGGTACATCCCTTATGCAAGGATTGTATAATGTATAAATTTGCAGGAGTTGTGAACATGTTTGTCACTGTTTTCATGTACCCCAAAAGAAACTGGTTGGAGTTTGGAACTGATGTCACCCATAAAGATGGCATAGGTAAGGTAAGGTAAGGTAAGGTCTGCATATGAGCCAAGAGCCCCATTAGGCTGGAGCTTATCCCGGTTTCTGTAGCATGGAGTGACTGTATTTCTACTCCCCCTGAATAGGATGCTAGTGCATCGCAGGGTTACCCCCAGCATTAAATGTGCTGCTATCCATTTATACCCCTGGGTGGAGGTTTCTTGCCCAAAAACACAACACAAATTATGTCTCAGACGGCCAGGGCTTGAACCCAGACTGCTTGATCTGTACTAACCCAGAGGCAACTGTACCTTCCCTCATCTTGTGTTGTTTGGTCAAATTTTGCAAAACACTTGAGACCAATGAGATACCTTAAATTAATGCACTCTATGCCTTAATCTAATAGTTTAAACCCCAAACAGTGGCTCATTTCAAGTTGATCTTTAAGAAAAGTGATTTAAATTTGTTAATGTTTCTCTTGGGGGAAAAATAAATTGGCAACAAGCAGGCCCGAGTAGGAGTG